TATGGCGTACAGTAGGGAAGAAAGTGTCAATTTTACTGGGACTAGCGACATCACGAACCAAGGCCACTATTCGTTCGTAATTATCTACAGTATAACATAATAAAGAGTAGTTGTTTTCGTTATTTTTATGGGCCTTTTTAGCTCTTTTCTGAAACACAATGGAGAGAGAATTTCCAGCATGCCAAATACAAACTACTGACTGTAAATATTCAGTGTATTGGATTAGACCTTCTAGTACGGAAAATTGTTGTGCTTTTTGAAATACTTTTGAAATATTCTTAATATTATTAAATGTATTTTGACTGGTCTGCTATTTTGTTTGCAATTAAGGATAATTTGAATTATATCCTCTTTCCTGCCCGCTTCAATCTGAAGCTCACTAACTTCATATACCTCATTGTAAAGATTATTGGGTTGTTGTACACGTAATACTGATATTCAGTGCAAACGTTTAGAAAATATACCCAAAAATGTTTAAATGCACCGCCGCTGGTAGGCTTTGGTATGCCAAGCTACCATTCCGATCGATGGGCAGTGTGCAGATATCTCATGAAAACTGGTATTTAATTGATTTTATCCGACTCTTATAACCAAATCATTGACAACATAAAATCGATTTACCGATGCAATTAGCAGAGGGCGGAAAACTAATAACTACATTGCTGTATTTAGTAGCCTCGTTGATTAGCCACAATAGTTCACATTGGGCTAAGTTGACGGTAAAATCTCGTCTCACAGAAATACAGGTCCGCTAGACCTGATCAGAGAGAACACAATAAAACAATATTCTCTTATCAATGTTTCATCTCATTGCATTCACATCCACTTCATTACTCAACAGTGCACCAACACACCATTAAAACGATGTTTTCATTAAATTAATTGTAATAATGATCCTTTATTCGACCGTAAATGCAGAGTTCAAGATTGTATGAGATTAATTTCAGCAAGAATGTTATCAGCATTCAAATATGCCATTGGTTGAAGTTACTAGGCTAGATAATATTTAGGCCTAATTAGCTTTACATGAATTGACATCAGACCCCGTTGACATCAAAATATAAACCTTTTAATATATGTCAAACTATATTAGAACTTATTATAATGAATACCAATTGATTTAGATAATATTACAAACTATACTAACCGTCTTTCATTGCCCAGTCCTTGTGATATTGTGCATAGTAAGATATGGCATAGATCCAATATCCCAGATGAAAATGATGGTCGGCATAAGACACAAATCCGAAGTTTGTCCACGGAAATATTAATTCATTTGGTCTAATACTAGATAGAAACATACCTCCCCATACAGTATCGTATCTAGAATGGAAGAGAATAGTGACGTATTAACATATGGCGGTTAGATAAAAAGTTGCGATATGACGTTTGGAAACCTAAAACAAACATAAATATAGAGAAATGGATAATACAGTTTCAATTATATCATTTATACTGAAAAGTATCGCGTCAACGTCATACACAAATTAGTATACCTTTGAAGTTTTAACTTTTAACAATGTTTTGTACAATGAGATATGTCGGCAGGGATTGACATGTTCTAAATTTACAACAAATTTTAACTGTTTTAGACATTCTTGGATGAACTAAGTGAACGTAATACCAAGAAGATTGGAAGATATAGATATGATATATAAATCTGTGGAATGTTTCATAATACTAAAAAAAAAGAATATGATCATACCTAAACTTATTTGGCTCAGTTATGCCATCGACAATACCAAGCCAGAGATCTAAACACTTGCGTAATGATTCATCCAGCTTAGTGTAATGATCTGTTCCAAATGCTCTGGAGATACTAGCTAATCTCGCAACCATTCCAATCGATTTGCCAGCCCAATAACTCTGAGCGCCCTCATTCACACAGTCTTGGTCAAGCGTATGGTTGGCGGCGTCCTTTTCTATTGCAGTTAAAATGTCCTAATTTGGATCAGAAATCAGTTAATGTTATACCGTATACCATAGCTTGATTTTAGTATTTATTATACATACATATATGAATTATCGTTACACCGATTGTGAAGCGTCTGAGAACTCGGATATGAAGGTAAAAAAATCGGAGTA